AATCCAACCGAAATGTTGCTTCATTGAACGGTTGACAAGTCTTTTGAAAGGAAAAGGTGTAGCGGCTCCTTTTTAAAAAACATGTACATTAAATAAAGGAATTTACAATGCCATTATTTAAATAAAGTAATTCCTTGTGCATGCAAATATACACATCCGTAATGTGCATGCAGTATGCATCTCTTAATTTTAAACTTAATACACAGTTCTCAAAAAAAGAGCTAAGAGAGCATGTATATACATAGTAAAGTATTATTATTATTATCTAACCACAATTACACGTGTACACATGCATGTGGTTTATATAATAATAATAATAATCATTACATTTGAACATTCCTTTAAAACACTTGATAATACAAAACATTTATTTATAAAATGTTTAAGGAGTATAAGGACCATATCAATTATCACTTAATCTTTATTTTCAATAAATCTCCAACAATCCTCCTCCATTTATTGAAAATAAACATGCTCAACCCTGGCCAAATAGACCACTTATCAAGACTTATGCATAATTGAAAGTGTCTTAAAGATTGAACTTTCATTTAGTGCAATATACTTTACAATATTTCGGATCATAATAGTAGACTAAGTTTTGAACTATACAACCACTTTGAAATATTGAAGATATCACACACAAGTCTTTATACATTTCACTTTAGAAACTTGACACTATTAACGGCCTTGTGTCCATATCCATTCATGAGCCCCAACAAGTAAAGCCTCAAAATTGGTGAATCGGCCGCAATTCTAGCTCACATAGGTAGATCTTTTCAAACAATGGTCTCCAATCAAACACTTTATCAAAATATCTATTAAGACATAGTCAACCTCATTACACATTATTGCAGACTCAAGCACTTGCCTCGGGATGGTTTTTATTCAAAGTGCTTCAACCACGGGGTGACTTACTCATCATCATTGAACTCAAGATCTATTGTTGTACTAGACGTTGAGTTGCGCTTTCTTTCACTTGTGATTATTTCCTAAGGGCTTTAACCTCATCCCTTTTGTAGTTTTGTACACCATGTCCCTTGGCATCGCTTTTGTAATTAAAAGGATCCGTCAAATTTACATGTGATCGTACAAAATCAATCACAACAACTCCAAAACTTATAAGTACCCGCACATAGCTGTGTCTCACTCCTATGTGCCTTGACTTACCATTGTACACATGGTTATAAGCTTTCGACAGAGTCGATGCACTATCACAATGGATTGATATCGGAACCATAGGTTTAGGCCATATCGGAATTTCCGATACCAAGTCCTTTAGCCATTCCGCTTCTTTGCAAGCTGATGCTAAAGCTATGAACTTCGAAGCCATGGTAGAGTCTATGATACAAGTTTGTTTCTTAGATGCCCATGATATAGCACCTCCTCAAAGAAGGAATAACCATCCACTTGTGGATGAATAATCCTCTTTATTAGTTATCCAACTTGCATCTGTATAACCTTCTAATATAGAGGGTTCACTCTTGTAACATAAGTCGAAGCTCATTGTTTTATTTAGATATTTTAGCACTCGCCTCAAGGCTTGCCAATGAAATATACTAGGGTTACTAGTATATCTACTTAACTTGCCTACCGCAAATGCAATATATGGCCCGGTGCTAGTCATTGCATACATCAAACACTCAATCACCCTAGCATATTCAAGCTGTGATACAGCGTTCCCACTATTTGGAACTAATTTCCAACTAGGATCTATGGGAGTGGAAACTGGTGAACAATCCAAACTCCCAAATCTTTTCAACACTTTCTCTATATAGTGAGATTGTGTTAAGGTGATAGTATCACCTTGCTTAATTATCCTAATTCCAAGGATAACTTCCGCTTCACCCATATCTTTCATGGAGAAGTTTGAACAGAGGAAAGCTTTTGTTTCTTTCACTTGCCCCAAATTAGTGCCAAATATGAGCATATCATCCACATATAGAAAAATAATGACACCATTACCATGCTCATTAAATTTGCTATATACGCACTTGTCTGATTGGTTTATTTTAAAACCATTTTCCAGCACCACCTCATCAAACCTTTGATGTCATTGTTTAGGTGCTTGTTTCAGACCATACAAGGACTTGACAAGTTTACAAACTTTCTTTTCTTATCCTTTAACAACAAACCCTTCTGGTTGTTTCATATACACCTCCTCCTCCAATTCACCATTCAAGAATGCTGTTTTGACATCCATTTGGTGAATCACAAGATTGTGAATAGCCGATAAAGCAATTAACAATCTTGTGGTAGTTATTCTAGCTACCGGTGCATATGTGTCAAAGTAATCAATACCATGTTTTTGTTTAAAGCCTTGTGCAACCAATCTAGCTTTAAACTTGTCAATGGTACCATCTACTTTCATTTTCTTCTTGAAAATCCATTTACAACCGATTGGTGTGCAACAGGGTGGTAAATCACTTAGAACTCAAGTATTATTGCCCATGATTGAATTCATTTCATCATTTACGGTCTTTTTCCAGAAGGAAGCATCATGATATTTCATTACCTCTTCAAAAGAGTTAGGATCCTCCTCAACACTATAACAATATAGTGTTTGAGTTTCAAGGGTCTCTCTTGATCCCTCAATCAAATACAATTGAAAATCAGGACCAAATGATTTTTCCTTTTTAGCCCTCTTACTCCGTCTTATTTCCGGCTCATTTTCATGATCATTTTCCAGTTCATGTAAGTTTGAATTACTTGGACCGGGATCAACATCCTTTGGCCCAGGAATAGAAGTGAACCGCTTCTCATCGAAAAGAGCGTCCCTAGACTCAATAACAGTGTGAACCGCAATTGAGTCATTCGGTTCAATAACATAGAATCGATATAATTTACTATGTTCAGCATATCCAATAAATATGTACTCTACCCCCTTTTCACCCAACGTTTTTCGTTTAGGTTCAGGTAATCTCACGATTGCCCTACAACCCCATACCCTAAGATAACTTAGTTGGGGTGTTCTTTTGTGCCAAAGTTCATATGGGGTAATTTTATTTTTCTTGTTAGGCACTTTATTATGAATATAACAAACAGTTAACATAGCATCACCCCAAAATCCATTACTTAAGCCCGAATTAGACAACATGGAATTAACCTTTTCTTTTAAGGTTCTATTATTTCTTTCAGATCAGCTATGCCGTTTTGTTGCGGCGTGTAAGGGGCTGTTGTTTCATGGATTATTCCAATGGATTCAAAATACTTAGGCTCATAGTACTCACCTCCTTTATCAGTTCTATTCCAGTTTGTAACTCAACTTCCATTTTGAAAATTTTAAATTTATCCATTGCCTCATCTTTTGAAAATAAAAGATATATATAACAATATCTTGTGCAATCATCAATAAATGTGACTACATATTTTTTATTAGTAATTGTCCTATATAGGACTAAAACAAGGGTGAAATGCAAAAATAGGACTTATTATATTTTCTTCCCTTAATAGGACTAATTTGGTCCTATTATTAAACACACGAAAATTGTCATCCCAATTTTACCCCCTGCACCCATTTATTCTTCTCTCTCCTTTTCTCCTCAAATTGATCGGTTCCTTCTCAAAGTCCCAAAGCCCCAAAGCAGATCCAGTTAACCGCATCTCATCATCTTCCTCGTGTAGATTCGCCGATCCCACCGCACGACGTCGATTACTCCACCGCACGGTGCCTCCGTCGCTTCGCCTGCTTCGTTGCCTTCTTCTTCACATCGCTGCCTTCACCTACCATCACCCTGTTTATTTTCTCCGAATTTTCAGGTTTTTTCGCTTTCTTCTTCTTCTCCTCCTCATCCTCCTTCTTCTCCTTCTCCTTCTTCTTCATATTTCTATTTTTTTCAGGATTTTGACATGGATTTTGCCAATTTTCAGGCTTCTATTTTTCGTATTTTGACTTCTGATTTCTAGTATTTCAAAAATTCCGATTTTACAGATTTTTGGATTATGGCATACGATTTTGCCAATTTTATGGCAGAAATGTACACTAATAATCGTATAATGGCATTTTTTTTATATAAACTGTTTTTATAATGGCATACAATTTTGCCAATTTTATGGAAGAATTTTTTTTTGTTTTTTGTAAGATTTTGTTTAATTTCCAATTGTGTAAGTGCTTATTCCATTAAAATTTGGAATTTTTTGAACATTTGGTTATTAATTTCATAATTTTGCCAATTATATGGCAGTTTGGTGTTGCCATTCCAAGTTAAATCTGCCAAATCTCTGGCAGATTTGAATTCCTTGTTTATGGCAGATTTCAAATGAATATGTCAACTTTATGGCAGATTTTTGCGCCGGAGTTGTGATGGTGGTGGTGCTTAGAAGGGAACTGGTGGCCCTGAAGTTGACACCAGTGATGGTTGGAGGATGGTGGTGACGGCGGCGGCAGATGACGACAACGGCGAGGGAGGCGGACACTAGCGGCGAGGGTGGAGGCATACATCGCCGACGAGTGGAGGCAGCAAACAGTGACGAGGGCGGTGGCAGGTGGCACCACCGAGGGCGGCGGTGGCAGGCAGCGCCATCAAGGGCGGCGGCGGGTCGCAACATAGTGGAGGGTGGTTGAACTGCTTGTACGCAATTTAGGGTTTCATCAAATTGTAATTTTATATTTTTCATTTTAAATTCAAATAAAAACTGGATGAGGGCATTTTTGTACAAATAAGTGGTTTTAAGTCCTATGAAACGTAAATTTGGTTTTTGGTCCTATTAGTGCACACGGAACTTCATTTAGTCCTAAATAGGTAATTAACTCATTTTTTATTTCCAAAAGGAGTGTTATGGAAATCACACAAATCACTATGCACTAAATCAAGCATGTTGGATTTTCTTTCAACACTTTGAAAAGAATTTCTTGTGATTTTAATTAACATGCAAGTTCTACACTTTTCTGTGTCAATATTAAAAGGAGGAATTAATCCTACTTTTGACATGTCACTTAATTTACGATAATTAACATGACATAACCTATTGTGCCACAAAGAAGAATCACAAACCATATAAACAAAATTAACAACTTTATTAACAACACTTAGTTTGAACATGTCATTACAATAGAAACCTTGGCCAACAAATACACCACCCTTAGATAAAATAAACTTATTTGCTTCAAAGCTAAGTTTAAACCCAATGTTATTTAGGATGCGACCGAAGACAAGATCTTTCCGGATTTGTGGTACAAAATACACATCATTAAGAATTAATTTCTTTCCGGAAGTTAATTCCAATTCTACTTGGCCAATTCCTTAAATTTGCACAGTAGAATCATTTCCCATGTATAAGATCGGCCCCTCTTCTAACTCTTTTAGAGTCTTAAAAGCTTTCCTATCTTTACATACATGCCTTGTCGCTCCGGTGTCGATCCACCAAGATTCATCATCCTGCACAACACAAATTTCAGAAAGCATAGCTACAAAAATCATGTTATTGTCAAGACCATTTGTAACTACAAAAAGATTCTGACCTTGGTTGTCATGGCCACCGGTTGGATGACCATTTGATTGGGCCTTCTTCTTCTTCACCTTCGGGCAGTCCCTCTTAAAATGTGGACCACTACATTCCCAACAAGAGCCTACTTTCTTATCTTTTGGCTTCTTTTGAAACCTTGAACCTTTAGTGAATTTTCCGGGACGTTTTTTATTTTTCTTAGTCCCACTTGACTGTCCCTCTTCCATAACATTTATAGAGGAAATTGGGAGGTCGTTCTTTTACCATTGTCACCTTCCCGCAACTTAATGTCTTCTTCAATTTGAAGTCGGCGGCCCAGTTGCTCCATTGACAAATCCTCCTTTTTACGTTTGAGTCTATTTTTCACTTCCTTCCATGACGGTGGTAATTTGTCGATTATAGAACCGACTGCAAAGGTTTCATTTACATGCATGTTATGTATCAAAAGTTGATCATACAAACGTTGAATTTCATGAAATTGTTCCATGACAAGGCGAGAATCCACCATTTTGTAACTATTGAAGTTACTAATGAGAAATTTCTTACTTGAAGCATCCTCGGTCATGTACTTAGATTCTAGGGATTCCCACAACGTTTTAGCATATTCAACATTTTGATACACATCAAAAAGAGAATCACACATACCATTCAAAATATGTCCACGACAGATATAGTCATCATTGTCCCACTTTATGCGGCGTCGGCTTGTCTCCAAAGTCTCATTTTCATCATCCCCGGGCAGTCTCGAGGTGCTTAACACGTAAACCACTTTCAAAGTGGTGAGCAGAAAATGCATCTTTTTCTGCCACCTTCAAAACTCCACACCTTCAAACTTTTCCAATTTTTGAAAATTGGTGTTGATATCACGTTGAGTAGCGGTCATACTTTCAGAATAGTAAACTTTTAGATTGTTAGAACAGGAGGATAAAAGTAGTAAAATATAAGGGTGTAAATATGGCTGGACCAGATATCACTTCTAGTCACGTATTAAATACGCTTTCCTAAAAGTTTACTATCGACCCTTATCACAGTAACCAGGTTACAAGATAGAACTTTTGGGATAAAAAGAAGATGTATGGTGTATTTTAGTTACCGATAAAATAACACCGAACAAGTGATTTGTATATAAAAATGGTCTAAACACTTTAATAATACTGCAGTTATTAGTATTTTTAGCATGGCAAAAGAAGATTAAAATCCATTTTCGATTCATCCGTCAAACGTGATGCGGCTTTAGTTGTGTCGGACATTGAAGGAGAATCGGGTATGTCCTCTATTGATGTGATTCTTGATGACCTGAGAGGTATGCTTAGGGGTAATCAGTATCTAAAAGTTATGTTTTGTAGAAGAGCGGCAAATCGACCCGCTCATGAATTAGCTAGAGGTGCGATCTTAGATGAAGAGTGTGGTGTTACCTTTTATTTTCAGCCGAATTTTATTGTAAGCCTTTTGGCAAACGATGAATTAAGTAAATATATGATTGCATTTTCCTTTTAAAAAAAGTATGACAGTTTTAGTCTACAACTTTAAATTCGTTTTAATGATCGAATTCATAGTTATTAAAAATATGTGAACCTATAAAAGAGTAAATATAACTTTCAAAAAGGACCATGTAGAAGTGATGTTTCTTTAATAGTAATAATATAAATCATTTGATTAATTTTCTCATTATTTTCAAAGAGACATTGTATAGTTATCAATAAAATCTTAAAGACCACAATTAAATGTACAAGAAATATATTAAAAAACGATTGAGAATTTCGAACTAAGGAACAAAAATAGAAATAATCAAATAGGATTTAGCAAGTCAATTATGACTTTAAACCTCCAAATTAAATACTCTGTATAAAGTAATAAGGCATTATAATACGGAATATCATACTCCAAAGATATGTAAACCTATAAAAGATTAAATATAAATTCCAAATAAGACCATGTAAAAGTGATACTTCTTTGATAGTAATAGTATAAATCATTCGAATAATTTTCTCATTTTATTCAAGTACCCATTTTACATTTATAAATAAAATCTTAGAGACCAAAAGTAAACATACAAGAAATATATTTAAAAATGTCATTGAAAACTGTCAGGAAAATTTTGTTAAGGCTGTTAAAGAAATGAAACGTTTCCTAAAAAAACTTCAAAAGAATTAGAACAATTATAAAAAAGTGGGATGAAAGATCTCCAAAATAGGAATGTTTCTCAAAAGACTAAATGTGGTCTCCCAACAAACACGATTCTTATATGTCCTTATTTCGTTATGGACATTTCAAACTAAACTATCTGACCAAACAGATATATAAAGAGAGATTAGAAAAATAGAAGAAAGTGTAGTTGGTTGTGGTATTGACTGATTTGAATGATAAATATGGAAACACCTTTAGAAGATGGAGAAGACTTCTTTTTATTTTCTTGTACTAAAAGGGGAAAACATTTGATGGCTTGCCAGCTTAATTAATATATAGCCATATATGTTTTCAAGCCTTTTGTCTTTAATTTTTCAATGTTATTCGAGGATCGCGATTCCCCGTCGTCTATAAAGAACCCTTACCTTGTAGATTGAGTCTTGGTATGTATGGAGTTTTAGAAAATATTGAACAATTCAAAAAAGAACCTTTTATCATAAGTAATCATAAATGTAGCTTTTACTTTAGAAGGTTTATTTATTGTGTTTGAACTTTACATACATCTTTGAAATATGATATCAGTGCATGGGATTGATATATTTAAACTCACATTACACTATTAAGAATTTGATCAAACTGAGAAAGAAGTTAAATTATTGCAGTATATGTAATCTAAGTGGGGGTTAAAAGATTTCTAACTATTGTGAAGGTACACAAGTGCTAAATAGTGTCTGTAGAGAGCTTTTTTTATGTCGCTTTTACGACATCGTCTGTAGCCAGAAACTCAAACGTAAAAGAGTTGAGTTCCATAAATATTATTATGACATCCTCTACATGAAATAGGTAATTATTTCCTTAACTTTGCATATTCAAGAAACATTTCATATGATATAAGGACATGTGAGAGGACACTCATGAAATAGGTAATTATTTCCTTAACTTTGCATATTCAAAAAATCAATTTTACAACTCAATTACTCAATTTGGGACAGGGGAGTATGATTTTTGGTGAATACTAAACATGTGAGAGGAGAAATGTAAGATCATAATAAATGTATATTGCAAAATCTAGCAAAAGATATGTTATGTGATATTGGGCGGTTAACCAACAATTAAGAACTAGTTTGATACCCGTACGTATTTTCATCTTATGAGACTTATTATCTAACAATTTACCAAACACGCAATTTTTTACTATGCATGTTGATTCGTGTTATAATGAAAATAAGTACAGTGTAAATAGCTTTCTAATTGAAGTTATAGTAGACGACCATTATAGCTATATTCTTTTATTTTTTTGTTAATTTTTTATAAAATATATTCAATTTGTTTTCTTCATAATTAGCATATTAACCACTATAGTCAGAAATTTATTAACTTCAACAGGATCTACTAATTCAAACAGTTTTAGTTTTAGTAAACGAGCCTAAAGAGCATGATCGAGTCCAATAAAATTGCCGGTATTTGATATTTTTTAAATATGTATTTGATGAGCCATTAAAATGCTAGCCTACTTAAGCTTCTCGGCAGTCGGCACTTTTTCCTGAGCAAGAGACCAGAGGCCTTGTTTTTAGGCAGCTATTTGACAGCGTTGATAACTCCGACACGTATTTAATGTATGTTGAGATCGAATTTTGATGGTTTTTCTATCTAAAAGGTGTCACAAGTCTAATAGTTAGCTCAAGTTATATTTTACCCGGTGTTCAGTTCGTGTTTGGTATTCTTGGAGTCAAAATCAGGGAATTAAGGCCGATGCCGGAATTTGAGAAGTAATCGAGAGAGTTGAGACGCATTTGAGAGTTGATTAGGAGCATTAGAGGTCAATGAGGTGTTAAAAACGAAGTTTTGAAGACAAAAGAGCTCCAGAATTGGCTACGAGATCAAAAGAGGACGTATAGAGCTTGAAAACGGCGATCATGGTGACGTTCTGTCAATCGTTCAAACAAATCTTTTTCTATAAACATCAAAAGAACATGATTCAAGTTCCATATAAATCTAACTTCAATGGTCAAAACAGATGAGGAATTCAGATAATCGCTGTTGAGGTTGCAGGATGCGACCATCCATCATTTTATTCATATCTTTCGATTGGATGATCCAAATCCAATTTTACAAGTTGTGGTGGGGATATAAGACTTCATTATCTAAAAGTTTTGTGAAGCTTTAGATGCACGCGTGCGCCCGAAGTAAGCACGCTTAGGGGTGAGCAAATAACCGATTCAACCGACCTGACCGAAAACTGATGACCGAACCGACCGAAAAAATCGGTTTTCGGTCGGTTATCGGTTATCATAAATTAAAAATAATCGGTTATTCGGTTTTTATTCGGTTTTATTTGTCGGTTATCGGTCGCTCACCGATAACCGTCCGATTTTTTTTTTTTTTTTTTGTAAATATTTAAGTAAATATACTCCATAATAAATTAATAACTCCATAGTAACGATAAAAAAAAAAAGAACTCCATAGTAATGAAATATGAAGTCCAGCCCACGCCTATTGAACTCCACCTACAAAACTCATCAGTGGAATGCTATGGAGCTCGTTCTTCAATTATCCACTTCCCCATTTCTTTAACTTGTATTCTTATAATCAATTCATGGAACACCCTGTTCAAAATTTCAAACCTCCACGTACACCTTCATTGGAGGAATCAACCTTGGTAAAGAAAAATCAACCGAAATCCTTATTTAATCGTTGCGAAATCGCACACATTTTTTCTTTTAATGTTTTCTAGATCCTTTATTATCTTACTCAACATGACAGATCTTTTGATTTTTAATTTTTTCTTTAGTGGGATTTAAAATATTCAGAAACTTTTAGATGGGTTTGCTCATTTGGGGTGTAAAGATTAGTAAGATATTAGCTTATTTATTTGCTAACATATTCTTTTTTATTTTGTTTTCATATTGAAAAAGACAATTGTGGAACAATCAAGTAGTTTCAACGTGGGATTTTTTAGTTTTTGTAATTGTATTGTGCTAAGAACAATTATTTACATTTAAATATGTTGAATCCATTTTGGTATTTATTATTTTATTTATTAATGTGCTATCTATAACTTTTATAATTTTGAAAAATATATGTTTTGGTCGGTTATGTTCGGTTATTCGGTTACCGACCGAAACCGAATGACATTTTTCGGTCGGTTTTTGTAATGTTGTCGGTCGGTTTTCGGTCAATTATGAGAGGAAAAAACCTTGGTCGGTTATTCTGTTATCGGTCGGTTATTTGACCGATCGACCAAATGCTCACCCCTGCACGCTGTGCGCGGAAGAGAAAATCATGCTGGAGCAACTGCGAGTCGGGCACGTCGTACCCGGCATTTTTTCGCCCCCGGGTGTTCTATTGCGGACTCGATTGATCTGTTTTCTATTTAAACACCCTATAAACCCCTATTTTTGGTAACGGAGCTTAGAGAGACCTAGGGACGAGTTTTTATGTATTTTTTCGTGTTGTTCTTCAAGACCCGTAAGTTTCATCTTTTTAATTAATGACAATTAATTCTTTTTATCGCAATATTGTTGCTTGCTCAATTATGAATTGTGAGTAGTTTTAATTAGAGATTTGGAATTGATGAAGGGGTTAATCATGATCTAGGCTATTCTCATGATGAATTAATTGCATGAATGTTGTTTAATTTGTGTTTGAATGATTTATTTGATATCTCTTGTAACCTAGAATTGCAGCTATGCTTATAGGTAGAATAAATTAAGAGAGATCTAATTTATTCTAGGACACATTCACACACACTTAATAGTTCGTTAAGAGATTAGTAACGGTTAGGGAGCCGTACGGTCGCTCGTTTTGGCAATA